TCTCTACAATATTAAAAATGAATCTAAAACTTAATGATAAATGAATCAAGTCTAGGTATGCAGTAAAAAATGATTGATTATAATTAGAAATAATATAAGTTGCAGATTAAATAATTAAAACCTTACAATAAAATAAAGTTCATTCACATGCATGAGCATTAAATAGACATTCACTTGAATAAAATTTGAAATCTAACTTTAACTGAAAAATATATTAATGAAATATAATAATATAAAAGGAAATACATTAAGGAGATACAATAATGTAAAAGGAAATGAGATTAATGAAATATCTAAGTTGAAGTTAAGAAAATATGAATAAAATAAAGATATACTATACATCAATTTTTGAACATTTTTTTTTTGAATTTTTCGTCTAATTAGGAAAAAAATTTAAATATATCCTTCATTCATGTTTTGATTTAAAAATACCTTTTGATTCACCTTTTGGGCTCACTTGTACCATTTCTTTCACTTTTCACTAACTTATACCTTTATAACTAACAATTAAAGGTATTTTTTAAAGAAAATATTAATTATTTGTCATTTTCTTATTAGATAAAATTAACATCTCATCTCTATTAATTATTTCCCCATAATCTATTTAATATATATATATATATATATATATATATATATATATGATGATTATTTATTGTTGTTGTTTTCTTCTTCTTTCATTTTTCAATGTCATGCCCAATTATTATAAGGTTAATTCATGTCATTTGGGTCCTCATCAAGTGTTAATTAAAAGGTACTTTTTGACAAGTTGATTTTATGGTGTTATTTTTTAAATCTTAATAATGTTCCCTATCATAGTTTGTATCAAGAAAGACTCAATTTTATATAATTTTAAATATTTTTTTAAGGTGCACTCAAATTAAAAAAAGCAATTTTCACATATAGCAAATAAAAAAAATTCATATTTGTATGTTATAGCAAAGTTTGCGCAAATAATTGCGCTTCATAGCAAACATAAAACTGTATAATTCGATATACATATACAATTGTATAATTCACTGGCCTAAATTGTATAATTCGCTGACCTATTTCGCTGCAATTGTATAATTCGCTATCCTATTTCACTGCAATTGTATAACGCACAATTGTATAATTTGCTGCCTAATTCGCTGTAATATTTTTATAAAATTTGCGTTGCATACAATTGAATCGAATTAAAATGTATGTATATTGCATAATTATAAGTGTATAGCAAGAAGATATATGTTTTTCTCTCGCTTTATACAAAAACAGAAACACAATATATACACTTCTGTTGTATAAAGCTAGAGAAAATTGTATTTTCACTGCAATTGTATAATTCGCAATTGTATAATTTGTTGGTCTTTTTCTCTGCAATATTTGTATAAAATTTGCATTAGTCTACAATTGAATTGAAGTAAAATGTTCGTAAATTGTATAATTAAGTATATAACACGAAGATATATGTCTTTACATGTGTATATATAATTTTCTCTTGCTTATACAAAATAGAAATAAAATTTATACACTTCTGTGTATAAAGCGAGAGAGGCGAGCAGAGGGAGAGTGGCGAGCGAGATTTTTGGGAGAGAGGCGCCTGACAAACTTTAGCTAACGTTTGCTATGGAGCATAATTAAATCAAACCCTAATTACTCTATGTATTTTAGGTTATTGATTTGCTATTATATATAATTTTCCCAATTAAAAAGCATAAATATAAAATGATACATTTAGTATCATTGAGTGTTTTTTTTTTTAAAAAAAAAAAAGTTTGTATCCATATCTTTGTTTCATAATCGTTATGAGTCACATGGTTGTTTTGTACTTTAGTCTTTTTTGTTTGTATCATTGAGTGTTTTTTTTTTAAAAAAAAAAAAAGTTTGTATCCATATCTTTGTTTCATAATCGTTATGAGTCACATGGTTGTTTTGTACTTTAGTCTTTTTTGTTTTTCTTGTTTGATCTTTTTCGTAGTTTTATTTTATCCTGACTTGCAGGGATGGTGACACAATTTTTGAGGTGACAAATGTGTTTTAAAGAAATAATTTTTACTTTTGAAAATTTACATCAAAATTAATATTTTGAATTAATAAAGTCGAATTTAAGTTTTGACAATTCCATTAAATCTGAAAAGTAATTTATGAATTAATTAGTAGGATATCTATATATGATTATTATTAGAGTAAATAACATTATCTAAAGAATATGGATGTAGTATGCATATGATATAATATAAAGGTATGCAATAATACTACAAATACGGAAGCATATGATAAAGAACATATATATTATAATAAAATATAATAAGAGAGTGTACGAAATTGAATTGAAAATCAAATTAAATTATAAATGGAGTTAAATTGGAGAAAAATTTGATTAGTGATTTGATTTTACTTAGTTTGGTGTTCGAAAAAAAACTCTGATTATATTTGGGTTGGTTTGGTTTCAACTAAAAAAAATCAACTCAAAACCAAATCAACCCGATATTATATATATAATTTTAAAATTTTTATTTTATACGTAAAAATATTTACTTTAATATAACTTTCAAATATCTCTTATACTTTTTCATAGTTTTTATCGTTTAATATACATATTTCATGTTTGGAAGTTAGACTTATTAATGATCTAATAAAAGATAATAGTCAATACATATAGGTAATTATAATAAATTTTATATCAAAATCAAATTAATACTAATGTAAAAAGAAAATTAGTTCAACACCAAAAACGACAATAATAATGAATATTTGTTTTTTAATTTTACATTGATTTAGACAATTAAAATATGTGATCTAATTTTGCTTTCCTTTAATATTTAGTCAAGTAAGTAATACTTACCAAACTTATTTTAACATGATTTTAGTACTTTAAATTATGATCAATTTCATTATGACTCATCAATTTGCACTATTTGTTTTACGCGATTTTATCATTTATTTATTTTGTTGGATATTTTAGTGTCATTAATCATATCATATTTTGTGTTATTTTCTTGAGAAATAACTTAGATAGTGGTATTTTGGTAGGAATAAAAAGATATTTGAAGTACAAGTAAATTAGATATTTTATGGTCCTAATAGATGCATTTTCAAGATGGTCTCATGTGTGCCTGTTATCATCTCGCAACCTAGCGTTTGCAAAATTATTGGCACAAATAATACATTAAGAACGCAATTTTCAGATTCTCCCATTAAGGCAATTCACCTTGATAATGCTAGAATTCACATCCCAAGCTTTTAATGATTATTGCTTATCAATAGTGGTAAAAGTTGAACATTCTGTAGCTCATATTCATACTCAAAAATAGTCTTGCTGAGTCATTTATTAAGCGCTTACAATTGATAGCAAGACCTCTACTTATGAAAAGCAAGTTACCCATTCCTGTTTGGGTCCATGCTATTTTACATGCAGAATCACTTGTTCGTTTCAGATCGAGTCATTATAATAAATACTCTCCGTCACAGTTAGTATTTGGTCATGAACCAAATATTGCTCATCTACGAATTTTTGAATGTGTTGTATATGTGCCAGTAGCACCACCTCAGCGCATTAAGATGGGCCCCCAAAGAAGGTTAGACATATATGTTGGGTTTGATTCACCCTCCATAATTTGCTACCTTGAGCCATTGACGGGAGATTTTTTTACTGCAAAATTTGCAGATTGTCGATTTGATGAAACAAATTTTCAGCAATTAGGGGGAGAGAAAAAAGAACTTAAAAATGAAATTGCATGGAGAGTCTCATCATTATTTTATTTTGATCTATGTTCCCCTATGTGTGAACAGGAGGTCCAGAAGATCATCCATTTGCAAAACATAGCAAATCGAACGCCAGATGCATTTACTGTTTTGAAAAGGATAACAAAGTCACATACTTCCGCAGTAAACGTGCCTATCCAACCCATCTACAAGTGTCATGGCTTCTGAATCACAAACACGCTTGAAGCGTGGCAGACCATTGTGTTGAAAAGATAAAAATCCTAGAAAAAAAAATACGAATAATGATACTACAAAAGAATCTCATGAGGATAAGATTCAAAATATGATTAATCTTGATATATTGAAGAGATCAGTGAACCCGAGACTCAAGTGAATAAAGAACTTTCAATAAGTTTTACGGGTGATGAGATAAGTTTAGATCGATCAAATCATAGTTAATAATGTTTTAGCATATAATGTTGCACTTAACGTTATGAGAGACAATGATGATCTTGAACCCTTATCTGTCGAAGAATGTCGATAAAGATGTGATTGGCCAAAATGGCAAGAGGCAATTCAATTCGAATTAGACTAACTTTCTAAACGTGAGGTTTTTGGACCTGTAGTTCAAACCCCAAATGGTGTAAAATCGATTGGCTATAAATGAATTTTTGTACGAAAGCAAAATGAGAGAAATGAAATTGTAAGATATAACGCACGCCTTGTTGTACAAGGATTCTCTCAACGACCTGGTGTCGACTATGAAGAAACATACTTACCAGTTATGATGCAATAAATTTTCGATGTCTCATCAGTTTAGCTGTTCATGAAAATCTTGAAATACATCTAATGGATGTGGTTACAGCTTATCTTTACGATTCACTTGATAATAAAATTTATATGAAAATTCCAGAAGGACTTGAAATGTCGGAAGCATTTAGTTCAGAACCTCGAGAAATGTGTTCAATTAGATTACAAATGTCATTATATGGCTTAAAACAATCAGGACACGTGTGGTATAATCGCCTCAGTGAGTACTTGATAAAACAAGATTATATAATGATGTCATTTGCCCTTGCATTTTTATTAAGAAAACAACGTCAGCGTTTGTTATTCTTGCATTTTATGTTGATGACATTAATCTCATTAAAACTCCAGAAGAGGTCCAAAAGGCAATTGAATATCTAAAGAAAGAATTTGAGATGAAAGACCTTGGAAAGACAAAACTTTGTCTTGGTCTACAAATTGAACATTTAGCAGACGGGGTATTTGTCCATCAATCTACCTATACTGAGAAAATCTTAAAACGATTATACATGGACAAAGCACATCCATTAAGTACTTCACTGATGGTACGATCACTTCAAGTGAGTAAAGATTCATTCCGACCTCAAGAAGAGAATGAGGAATCTCTTGACCCTGAAGTACCTTATCTTAGAGCAATTGACGCACTTATGTATGTTGCTAATTCTACTAGACCTGACATAGAATTTTCTGTTAATTTATTAGCAAGATTTAGTTCTTCTCCTACATTAAGACATTGTAATGGACTTAAACATATATTGCGATATCTAAAAGGGACTAGTGATATGGGTCTATTTTATACTAACAAAGATAGTACAGATTTTATTGGTTATGTAGATGCAGGTTATTTATCTGACCCACATAAAGCTCGATCTCAAACAGGCTATCCGTTCACAAACGGAGGTACTGCTATATCATAGAGATCTACGAAGCAGTCTATAGTCACTACTTCTTCAAATCATGCTGAGATAATAGCCATTCATAAAGCAAGTAGAGAAAGCGTATGATTGTGATCAGTGATACATTTTATCAAAGAAAATGTAATTTGAAATATGATGTCAAGATACCCACTTTATTCTTTGAAAACAATGATGCATGCATAGCTCAATTAAGAGGAGGTTCCATAAAAGGAGATACAACGAAACATATCTCACCGAAATTATTTTTTACACGTGATCTCCAGAAGAATAGTGATATTGATATACAACAAATTCGTTCACATTATAATCCAGCAGATTTATTCTCCAAATCTTTATCAGTCACAACTCTTAAAAAAAGAGTGCAACACGTTTTTACTCCCCCTGATAAAGACCAGGATAAAATTAGACATTTTTCTTTAGAAAAATAAAGTTCTTATCCTTTTTACCTATTTAAAGTATCTCAAGTTGATAGAGTCTCGATTTAATAACGTGTTATAAAATAAATAGCTAACAAATTAATAATAAAAAACTACATTAAGAACAAGAACAAACAAACAGATAGTATAACAAAGATATATGCCAAACTTTTCTCTTGTTACTTTATATTTAGAAGTACTACTATTTATAGTGATAATTGGAAAGATGTAACTTGGTCACTATTTGCCAAGTGTAAGTTATGTCCACATGTCATTCACAATTGCTTGCAACAAGACAAGTCATGTGAGTCATTATTTTTGGTGATCTTCATATGGTACTGCCATTGCTTTACAACAAAAAATACTTTAAACTTAATTGAGCTGCTTAGTTTTCAATTTTTCTTTCCTCGTAAGAACCTAAAAGAAAGTGTAATATTATTTTATCACAATAACATTTTCTCTTATTATATAAGGGAGACTTCACGCTAAAGCAGACACCTTTCTATCGTCGTGCCTGCTTTAGCAAATTTTAAAAAATAAATTTGTTAAAAGAATTCTTTTTGTTCTATTTTAATTTGATAATTGTATCATTTTTTGAAATTACAGAATTTATTTTATGTATGACTTTTAGTTTTAAATTCATATTCATTAGTTATAGCTTTATTATTTTGAATGTCGATAATAATTATTTATATTTCTAATTACTTTGAGTAAAAATGAACAACCTATGAGAGGAACTACTTTCATTATGGACCTCTTCAATTAATTTTAGCAGACAAAACGTAATTAACAACTTAAAATATTTAAAAGACATTAAAATTTAATTAACTTTCTAAATTCTATCTGTATCATATAAATTAAAAGAAAAAAATACTCCAATATCAAATTCGTACCAGCACAGACACATATGCCTGGTATAAGAAAATTGAGGCTTTCAAATTATCAAAAATCTAAAAGACAATTAAACTAGCATACAAGTTAGACCGAATAAAACTTGTCAAGTTTTAAAGGATTTCGATCCATTCTGCCTGGCGGCAGACCCACTTTTACTGTCGAATAATTATATCGTATATATTAAATTTTTGATATTTTTTTAAATATATAATTATTAAATTATTATAAAAATTCATAGAAATTGTGTGTTCTAGTCTTATTACAACCCTTCACACTTGACAATTCTGAATCCACTATTGATTCAACCTAATTATTACTACACTTATTCATTGGAAAACTAAAAAGAAATGCCTGTGCTGAGCACGGACCCAACATAATATCACAGACACCAATATAATAGATATGGTCTTTGCAAATAATAAAGTCTGCTAAATATTATGCAACTATGTATATAAATCATAAATGGCAAGGAATCAATTTATTTTAAGTCATGTATGTATGGTCAAAGGGATCAGGAGAAACAAAATGTAATTCATTTATTCAAAGCATATCCAAACTCACAACAAAAAAAAGAAGAGAATAGTTGAAAAGTTTATTGAAATGTTACATAAAATTTTTAAAATACAACACAAATCAAGGAGAGAGTATACAGGGAGTAAATCAAGAAGAAAAAAGGAATTGAGCATGACCGACTCTTGATGTGTTTCATGCTGATACACATTATTTTTCTCAATTTTGCTCGTCACAAGAGACTTGAGTCTCCAGTCATGTCAATAATAAAGCATTAAAACTTACATTCCATTTAAATTACTTTAGTTTACTAAAAGACAAACATTTGCATATGTAAGCCAAGACTTTGGTCCTTGTTTTGAAAGAAAATAAAATGTTTACTACAGACCACATGCCTGTAGCTAAGGATATGTACAATCTTGGCTGCTGATTTGCTACTGAGAAAAATTAAAATCCCTGAATCTTTTACAGGCCAAGATTCAACTCATCATGGAGTACTAATGTTGATTCTACTTTGTGATCAGACCTATAATTAACGTGGCAATACATCTCTTTTCCAGAAGTCAGTTCCAATTTAATTATCTCAGATCAAAGCAAAAATTATACATTTTCTAATAGTCTCGAATGAAAAAAGTATCCATTCAAATTGTTAGCGAGAAGACAGTGATCTAGCCCGACGAGCTATATATTTTTTAAATCTTTAGACTCTAACAAAAGCTTCTTTTCAGACAACCTTATCATTTCAATTCAAAGTGAAGTTCAAAAATGACAAATCTGTTGATAGCGGTGGCCTTAATTTTATAATCGTCCCAGAATGAATTAACCGTTGCTATCTGAAAGCTCAGGAGAACGTTTGTTTGCTGATATTACTAATATGAAGTTCAATGTAAGAAATAAATGTAGTCTCAGATATTGAAGCACCTGCGAATGTCAAATTTCATAGTAATAGTAATTGATGAAGTGAATATTAATTTGCCAGGGCTAAAATAAATAAACACCAAAATTTGTATAATAATAATAAGAATAAGAGTTAAATACAAATTTTGATGAGTCAAAAACATTTGGCTTAAAAAATGGAGTAACTTTAATATCAACCAACTCCCAAGATTTCAATCATTTCATGCATAATTTTAAGTTGGAGCTTATCTAGTTACAACGTCAAGTATCAAGGGATGGCAACAATATAATATTTTATTAACTATTAGTAATTTTTTTCTCCTAAAAACTTTACGACTTTCTTCCTTTAATAGAAGATATTTGATACCATCATCATGATCTCTCTCAACTTATTATTAAAAAAATCTTATCATTTTAGGCATGTTAAATATTTATATATCTAAGTTGTCAATTGTACTATTAAGATCACAATTGGTCTAAGAAATAAAAAGTATGTACTCAGTGAAAATTAAGTCGTTTGATATTTTGATTAGAGTTATGTGGGTATTAATAATGTATGAATTAGTTAGAAGTAAGTTTATGTAGTATTTCATGCAATATTAATTTCACCTTCTATCATGCATAAATTAATACATAAATTTTTTCAAAAAACTTATGCATGTATTAGTTATGTGATTTTTAAATTATCAACTTAACGTGATATTAATTTTATACATAAATATAAATTATTTACTTTTTTTAATCTATCTACCAAATATCGTAATTTATACAACAAAAAAATACATGAATAAATTGAATCTTATCGAGCTGCCAAATGACTCCTTTTGAACTCATATAGGTGAGTGTAGTAGCATGGTGCTCCTCTTTCTAATAATATCTCCCCCCATACTTGTGGTCTTAAATTAATTTATCATTTAATCTAGTATTTTTTAAAATGTCATGTTAATGAAAGAATTGTAAAAAAAAGAAAAGAAATGAATTAAAAGAGAAATATATATAGAATAAATAAATTAAAATAGGAGAAATAATAATGTTCCCCTTCTAATTTTGTTAGCCAATTTCTAATAACATATTGCTAGTTATTATTTGATAATAACAATATAATATATAGTGCATGAATTACATGTGATTAGTTAAATATATAGTGTTAATTCTTTATCAAGGTAAGTGCAAGCAATAATTGCTAAAAAAAGCACTTGATAAAATTGCAAGCAAAAAGTCATGATGGTTAATAACACTTTTACAATATAATCTCCTACAAAGAGATGAAACACACAAGCTAAAGGGAAAAATTAAGGGGAAGGAATTCCTATTTTACACAAATATTTAGTTCCATCACATTAGTACAAAAATAAAATAAAAAATAGAAAGAACCTAATAAGGTAAAAATGAAAGAAAAAAAAAACAAACAATATTAGGCATGTGAAGAGATTTGCAGGAGCAGGAAATACCATGTTACTAGATCTTACATTATTTTAGGATTGCAAAATAAAATATATCATGAAATATAGGGTATAAAATTAAAGGTTTTGAATTGAAGTTGTAAATATAAAAAAATCCTGAATAGATAAAACACTTCTTTTGAATGTGATTTTATGTAACACAAATTTAAAATTAATCGATCTTTAAAATAAATAATAAATACCAAACTAAAATCACGATAAAAGAGAAAGGGACAAACTAACATTTGTTGAAGAATTTTGTGGAACTAGGGTCCTACTACAACGTGATTCTTGCTGTGTTTTGTGTGGTTTAAATAAATGTGTAATAATCCACCTATTTTGTGACACCTAAACCCTTCTCATCACATGCAACTTAACTTAAAAACTCATGTTTTCCATGATTTGCACCTAACAACTACTCACATATTAATCATTAACGATTCGTTTAGTAGGCGGTATTTGATAAAATAATTTATAGATTAAAATTTAATTTAGCTAATATATTATCTGGTTACTTCTTTTAGTTTAATCCATGAATTACTTATTCATTATATATGATCTTATTTTATTTTTAAAAAATGGAGGGATAACTAATTCAAGATTTGTTAAACCTTGGATGAGACCCCTAAATGAATAAACTAAACCCCTTATTCCATTTCTAAATTTTTTTTGTATTTAATTTTCTTTTTATTGTTATTGGAATGGTTATATCCGTTTAGTGTAATTTAATGATTTCACTAATATTTTTTCTCTATTTTTTTCAATCAAGATAGTTTATCGATTACCCATTTGACTATTTTTTTTTAAAAAAAAATAAGCTTTAG